CATTAGCTATTTATTGTTTTGTATGTGATTCGAATATAGGATGGTTCATTTACATTGAATAAAGCTTTAGCTGATGTACTTCATATCGATCCTGATATTTTCGAGGATCTCGAACATTATTTACGCCAACAAGGTTTTAATTCACTCGGTAATATTGAATTATTTATTATTGACGTATATAGACATGAAATTTCATTTTGTTAGCTTTGAATATACGCAATGAACTTCTTCGTTTGATCGGTACCGGTGTCATTCTTATTTGGCTTGTTGTTCAAACTCAAACTTCACAAGAGAATAAATTTCAATTTTTATTTAATATTGAACAAATCAAAGTGAATCGATTCTTTTTCCTAATCTTCTCATTTTCTATCCTAATTATCTCTCTCTTTCTAAGGTTCATCTTTGCAACCATTTACCTACCAGCATGAATGAACAAATGAACAAAGCAATCCAATTCTATCGACAAGCAAGTCAACGTAATGGTATATATTGTGGACAATTACAATTAAGTGATCATTCGTGGGACGTATTTATTCAACATTTACTTATCGACTACGATCGTATTGAATAACTAAGCAATGCCATCAAATGACATTTCTTCTTTTCTATTAATTTTATTTTATATTTTTATTATTTTAATCTTGATTCTCTTCAACATTGCTTATTGTTCAACTAAAAAAAGCCTAGAATTTGAGATGATGGATGAATGTTTAGTGTATATATGAGATTGAAGAGAAGGCACATACTCACACTCACATCCTCACATTTTTTATGGACAAAATATAGACAAAAAAAAATTAAAAGAATTCTAGTTGAAAATTTTGTTACACAGATAATTATTCCTGTATGGGTATAGATCTATGTTTCTTCATTCTTTATCGATCCATACCCGATATCCACTATGCAGTTCGTCAAATTTCTAGTTTCTGAACCCTTAGTTGATAGTGTTATCTTTGAAATATGGAATGAAAATTCTTCAAAATCTTCATAAATTGTCATTATCACACAAGCAAATATACAAAACCAAAACATTAATTGATACCGAAGCGGTCACAACATTTGTAAATGCAATGATTTTACACCAAATGAAACATCTTCACTTTATTGATGACTTAACATTAAAGCCAAAGCAACACGAAAAATACTGTTAAATATAACAAGAATGAATGGAAACATTTTTCATTCAACAATATATATCATCCATCTCACACTTACACAGATATCCTATTTTCAAATGAATCATACGACTTAGAATTGGATCTATATAAGTAGACTGGAATTAAACTACACGCAAGCATCCATACGAAAGCATATTTTAAAAGAATGAAGCAAGTGAATGGTATTGAAATATATCAGAAACCATAGTCAACCATTATTATCTGAGATTAATGTGAACACTTGCTAGCACATATTTATTTTCGACCATTTTAAAAAGACCGTCTGATGTACACGAATGAGCGAAGGAGGTTGTTGTACCATTCAATTAAAATCTATATTCCACGAAAGAATCGACAATACATGATTGGATTAGAATATGAAATTTAAATTTACTCTTTTAGTTAAATATCTCTACCGTTGATACATCACACCAGTTTGCTATTGATTATTGCCTTGAAAAAAGAAATCAGTACACGATTATTTCATAGGAATGTATGATCCATCAAATATGGTCGAAGCCAGAAGGAAGAACTCACTGCGAATAAACTGACGAGGGTGTGGGTTTCGACGAAGAGAAATCTGACAACAACAATCCTAGTTATACCCACACCTAGCTCAACATAGAAAGTATCTCATTGGATTTGATCACTGTATGAAGCTGGATTTCGAACCTGTCCAACGGGATCTAACATAGTGAGCTCGATCTAGGGGTCCGTCTAATACTGTCGATTTTTCTTTCCTTTCATTGTGCTTCTTCATCTTTCTTATTTATTTAAGCAGCATGCAAACAATTCATACTAATGTGTTCGATTACCATTGTTGTTGATGACAGAATAAGAAGAATAATTGACGATACGTGAATGCATGCTTCTACCAACATTATTTTATAATTTAAATCACTCGAAAGTATCGATTTTAAATGCCTGATGTTGACAATTTCTGAATATCTTTCTCGTTGAACTATGCGGATTTTTGCATCAATTTTTTGACATTTCGTATCAGTAACTTGGATTAAATTGTTTTCAATTGGACATTAATTCAAAAACCTGTTGCACGAAGAAAATACTCATTCTCTTCTAATTTAAGTTATATTACATTCACATTCGATTATTTCTCAAAGCAGATTCGTTCAAGAATATATTTCAACTAGAATTCCATGAAAGTTATCGAGCACTGAAAGCTGTATATCGACAGTATGTTTCATTGTTGAGAAATTTCCAGTGCAGCGTGCAATTATGGTCATTAACAAGGTAGATGGTACAAAGTTTTAGCATGGCTTTTGAAGAGCATCATCTTTGGACATATTCGAATAACATATTGATGTGCCGAATCGGGTGTGGTTGTGGCTGTGACTATGGGCGAGGATGCGAAGAGAAAATCCACATCCACACCTCAAAATAAATATTATGTTGTCATCAAGTAAACTAATCTTACATACTATTGATCTGATTCGTCTTTGAAGCATTCATCTTATGCAAAGCCAACTGATGAGACCCTTAAGCAAGGTTGAAACCGGTTTTGGTGTGCTTGACTCATCCTTACCCTCACTTCTCATCCTCATCCTCATCGCGACAATTTTTCTCAGTTATTGATGCTATTGCGTATGGTTTACAAAACAGAGCAGTTACCAGTGTTCAGTTTGCAAGACTTTTCCATTTTGGAAAAGTCATAATAGGAGAATCACAACATTAAGGCATCCCATACACCGTAAAATAGGCAATATTTTTCAAACATTGAGAAGGGGAAGGGAAAGGGGAAAGACCCATCTCCAGTATTTGCGCCTCCAGTGTCACTTGATCCAGCAACAGAACAATACTAGAAAGAGTTTATTCAGATAGTGAGAAAAAGGTACAGAGTGAGAAAACAAGGATAAGGGGCAAGAAGAAGAGAAGAAGCAGTAGAGTTGTTAGGCATAATTATCGTGATCCATCGATCGATTTCTCGATTGACGTCTTCTGGTTTTTCTTCCATCACCCAATGACCAGTGTCCACTTTAAACATTTTCAAGTCAGCGATATATACCTTTTGTCTTTCAGCGGCACCAATAATACCAATATAATCTTTGGTGCCTTCAATAAAGAGCACAGGTCGTCGTATTGTTGCATTAAGAGTCTTCTCATACTCCCAATCGACGTTGGCAATTACCGCCTTGAACCAATTCAATTTTTGTTGCATTCCACTGGCAAGATAGTCGTGAACTATGGCGTAGTCTTCTTTTGTCATGTACGAAGACCGATTAGTTCGTTTTCTATTGGTTAGCCATTCTCGTACCTTACCAACTGGAGCAAAATCGGTCTTTGCCAGTGTCGAATTACTCGCGAAGGCAATATCGATAAAGCTATCCACATTTCTCTCAATAATTCCTGCTGCATCGTTGGCCTCGAAGAATTCCCAGTAACCAATACTTTCAGAGCCATTAACTAGCAACGACTGCTGAAGAACCACGGTCAGATTGAATTTTATTGGTGGACTATACGCAACGCTGAGGAGCACAGCGCCTAATGTTCGCTCAGGATGGTACAAAACAAATCGACTTGCTGTTCGCGCCCCCCAGTCATGCCCAATGACGAAGATTTTGGAATTACCTAAGCTCACATGGTCGAGAAGAGCAATCAGATGTTCGATCATTGATTTGCTGTTGTATTCATTTTCGTTCAATGGAGAATAGGTTTTACCATAGCCCATTAAGTTGGGCACTAGACATCCGTAGCCTTGCTCTGAAAAATATTTAGTTTGATGACGCCATGAGTGAAACGATGACGGAAAGCCATGGAGAAACAGGAGAGTTGGTTTGTCATTCACGGCTTTGATATGAATAAACTCATACTTAATAGTGGAGGAAATTTCAATAGTTTGTGTTGCTGCGATGCTGTTAATTGATGAAGATGAACAGATGTCAAATGTGCCGAGTGTAACGACGACACAAAAATACAAGACAGAATGTGTCAGAACTGTCATGTTGTATCTGGATATCAAGCGGAGAATGTGCACACCATAATTCACCTCACTCTGTCCTGTTTTTTTTCTGGTGTTGTGTGAAGTATTCACGCCTACTAATCTTTTGATGTCTTTTATAAATACAAAGCTTAGTCGATTAGTGTGTTGACGAATTTGGACGAAAGATAAGATTTCAGCAATATTATTTTACTAAGTGTATTGACAGATTCTGAAGAAAGATAAGATTGCAACAGCGTTATTTTACTAAGTATATTTACGCATCCTTTACCTTTGGTATGATTGTGGGTGATGCCATTTTCAATTACGTATAGAGTTACTGGAACGAATAAGTTCTTTTTCTTTCAATTTTAGAGAGTTCGTGGACTGTCAGTAGTGATACTTTTGGATCATTCCATGAGATCTGTACAGGGCTCGAGATAATATTTTTTAAGGGATTAACACTGTTAGGATTATGAAAACTTTTTAATATCGAGCTTAAGAAATCTCTAGAATTTTTGTGCAACATATTTGTGACAACCTATCGGTAATAAGTCATTGGACAAGAAAGATGCCTTTTTTACAGAAAGAGAAGTGGGTCAATACGTAATCTTAGACCAGCATTTCTCGATTGGTGAAAAAAATGATATATTTATCCGGCATCATTAGTAGCCAATGGGTGTGGGTGTGGGATATCGGTGTCTGTGAGACTGAAGATTTGTGGGGTATCGGAGTAGGTGCAGACAAAAGCGTCACCCAGGCCCACACCCGCACCAACGGCTCCATCAGGATGGTTCCTGGTCCCACGCATGTGTGAATAGAGTAGCAATTAATTCTTTTCCATTCAATCACGATTTATTTTTGAGAAAAAAAAAACAAAAAAAATAAAATTAATCATCGTGCTGAGTTTATTCGATATTAAATTTTTGTACTCTATGATTTGCGTGATCGGCGACATAAAGATTGCCTTGCCGATCGAATGACAAACCGTAGGGCCAAGTGAGTTGATTTGATTGTTCTCCTATACCATTTCCGCCAACAATGACACTTCCCTGTGTGGCTCCTTTGGGCCAACGCATGATTCGATTAAAATAATCAGCCACATAGACAGTCCCCAATTGATCGACAACGACTCCTTTTGGATACGACGATTGCCCAAAACCATTTCCATATCCTTGACCACCAGCCACAACAATGCCTTGTTTTGCACCTTCCATTCATTTCAACACACGATGATTTCCCAAATCAGACACGTGCACTGAATGATCTCGATCGACGAAAACGTAGTAGGGGGAAGAGAGTTGATCGAGACGATTTCCATATCCATTGCCACCTGCAACCACTGTTCCTTGAGATTCTCCTCTTCGATATCGTCTCACTTCGTTTTTTACATCGTCAGTAATATAGAGAGATCCATTTTCGCCCATTGTCAAACCCACACAACCGATATTGGAGATGATTGTTTCTCCACTTATTCCATTTCGACGAGGCCATCGAACCACTCTTTTATTCGAACGATCGCAGATTATGAGACTATCTCTCTCTTTGTCGACAATCACATCTGCTGGGCTATACAACTGATGAGCCCCACTTCCTTGTCCATTTCCACCGGCAACCACTTGACCACTGGTCGCACTCCATTTCCATTCCATAATACGGTGGTTGAATTGATCAGCTACATAGACAGTTTGATCATTATCAACATACAAACCCCACGGGTAAGAGAGTTGATTGGTTCCATTGTTTAGCCCATTTCCGCCAGCCACGGTGATACCATCCTGTTGCCACTTAGCATTCGAAGGAATGTTAATTGAATTGCCTGAGAGAAAGGAAAGGACAAAATGATAAAATATGAAAAAAGACAGAGCGTAGCGAGAAAAAAAATGTAAAATTCATTTGCATATTTGGAAAATCAACGTCGTTCCAAGTTTTTCTAAATGATAGCGGGTGTTTCCTTTTTTGTTTTATTTTCTAGAGAGATTGGAGCTGTCAAAAATTTATTTATTTTGTTTCCCTTTCTATTGGTTTTCTTTATTATTTAATTTATTTATCGACTATCTTTAATCTTATATTTGAATTAGCAGAATTGAGAGAAGACTTTAAAAAAGATTTTTAGTATAGCGCAAAATATTTTCAGAGAGACTGTATAAGTCTGTTGAAATGTGTAGTTCATCCCAATTAATATATCATCAAAAGCACGTGAGACGACATTTGTGCGCACGACTCTAACGCGTAAAACGATTTTTTTCTTGCAGGAGCTACATTTGAAAAAAGAATTTCTTGAAAATAACATTAGTTGTCGTACAAAGAATAATTTAGCAGCTTTAGCTTTTATTCCACCGCAAAATATTATTGAAGAATTTATTCGCATAAAAGAAAATGCGTTTTAGATTAAAACTCATTTTTCATGTTAGAATCGTGCGCACAAATGTCGTACAACCCAAAAACAAAAAAGTAAAGTCCTTTTCTTTCTTTGAAAGAGAAATACGTAGATCAAGCTAGTCATTCTCCTACAAATAATGAATTTTTGTTGTCTGAAAAACGATGTAATTATGAGTATACAAAATATTGAAATTTTACATCCTATTATCGACTAATAGTCAGAATGAGAGAAATATAGAGGGTGAGTATGGATGTGTATTGGATTTCTACAAAACCATGGTTTTTTAGCCATGGACGGCGAAAAAAAAGCGTTTGGGAGATAACTGACATTGGAGGTATTTGTACTGTCAGTCAAAAAGATAGCACATATTCGAGTCAAATGAAAGCTCTCACAGCCAAACTAACAAAGTTAAAATATTAGCGGCCGTTGACTTGCCTAGAGAGAGATATTCAAATTTTAAGGTATTAACAATATATGTAAGATACCTACTATTGAATATTTCGACCGAATTAATATTCCTTTTTCTGTGTTGGTTGGATAGAGCTTGTCGCGTTCTTCAAATATTAGGGGAAATAGACCCGAACTTGTGACCTTCGTAAAAAAAATTTGTAAAGTCAATTTTTAAAATTTGAAACACAGTTTTTCTAATGCAACTCGACAAGCCCTATTCAACCATCACAGAAAAAGGAATATTAATTCAGTTGAAATATTCAATAGTAGGTATCTTACATATACTGTAAATACCTTAAAATTTGAATATCTACTTCTAGGCAAGCCAACAGCCGCTAATATTTTAACTTTGTTAGTTTGGCGGTGTGAGCTTTCATTTGACCCGAATATGTGCTATCTTTTTGACTGACAGTACAAACACCTTCATTGTTAGGAAAGTCAAAAAACGTTAATGTAATGCTTACCTAGTTGTTGGGTAGCAGTTGTAGTTGTTGTTGCACTTGTAATTGGAATCGTACTTATTGTTGTATTATTCATAGCTATTCATGATCATAGAAAATATAGAAGTCAGTGCATTTGTTTTAGGTGAAGCCTAAACAGTGTTTTAAGGTAGAGCAACAATCTCAAATGATCTGAAAAGCGACTCTTTTTTCTTGCGAAACTAATTTTTGATGGAAAACTTCTATGTTTATTAGAGACCGAAAGGTCAGTAAAGTTTTCGACAAATCAATTCGATGTGATTCGACTGAATCAAATCAAAGAGAATCGAATCGAATCGAATTCAATTGAACCGAAGCCATCGAGACCATCCGACTCAAATTCATCACTTCTATTATGTTTTGAATACGGGTGAAGGTTAAAATGCACTGACTGTTGTTAGAGTACAAAATAGTTCTTTCAAGTATGAAGGTTGTAATTTCAACCCTCACATAAATGATTCACCTGCCAGTGTGGCCACCTCGAATCATTAGAATATTCTGTTCTTATATAAGCAGTGTGAGTAAAATGAATTTAAAAAGATATCCGAAAGAACAGAATAATAGTGTAAAGATAAATTGTTACGAACTCTCTATCTCTCTCGTCCCTTTCATCATCAGACAGTCTGAATTCCTACATTCTTCTCTCAAAAAAATTCTCGAAATTTTGACACATTGAAGCATAATCTCCAAAAGAGATAGCCGTTCCAAAGATGGTTTAATCATTAGAAACATAACAAAGAGAATTATAAATGCGTTTTATTTCGAGCTAGATGTCAATCGTAGTTATTTTCAAAAAAAAAGACTACGGAGTGAACTCAATATTTACATCACTCAGCTAAGTATACAATGGAAACTGTGAATAAAGAGAGGTGTGGCACAATAAAATCAATGTACTCTTATGAAGATGGTAAAATATGACACGTTCTACAGAACTGAATCGAATCAAATTATCACTTGTTCAAATTGTTTCGGTCTCTGATGTACATTCAAAAATTCACTGTATCTTCATGCATTGCTATATATCACTACAAGAGACTCTATATTTCAAATTAATGGATATAGTTCATGAGAAGCGATGAAATCTTTTCTCCAATAAATTACAATGCATTTTGTCTCTGTAAGAGTGTGTGAAGGATGAAAAAATAACTTTAAAAAAGATTCAGCTTTCACTTGAATCTCTAGATCACTATTCATTTTCTCACTTGCTGTCGATGGACAGAGTTGCTTATTGAAACTTGGTATTGGATAACAAACAGGAAGATTACGACATCGAGGTTGATGAATACATCTATGATTAGGTTCATGGCAAAGGTTGTTTGGCTGTTCACATGGAACTAGCTCAGAACAATCGATAAATTCATCGCTACAAATGCCAATGTCAATAGCACCTGCAATATAGAAACAGGTACACCCACTATTTGGCGAACATCGATTATATTGAGATATTCCATGACAGAATTGAGATTTCACTCGAACTAGTGACATACTAAATTAATCGCAGAATATGTAAAATGAAACAAGAATCAAACCTGTAAGGCTTAAAAGGAACATTGTTCAATATTAGATGAATAGAAAAAAATGGGTTTTGGAATTACCTGAATAGAATGAATACGAAACAACGAATTACTGTTGAAACCATCGCTTGTGTTGAAATTACACGAAATAGCGATGGCATCCATCTTTATATCTAATGAAGAGATAATGTTTTTCGCACTCACCGAAAGCGAAGAATCGCACGATGTGATCTTTCGATAAATAGAAATTCGATATTGCTTCAACGCTTACCTAAGTATTTAATTTTTCTTCAAAAAAGTAATCTTTATAGAAGAAAAAATCGCGATAAAAGTAGCAAGTAATTGCTTTTGCGATACAAGCATTCAATAGACTTGTATCCCCACTCTAAACATGAGTATTGTTTTTGTTGACCACTGAGTCACTTATGCAACGACGACATAAAATAATTTCAAAAACAAACTTTTTTAAAATATAGTTTTCATTGTAAGCAGTTGACAGAATTTTGCTCCTTGGTCGAATCAAATTCATAATCTTTAGCCAGCCACATTCGTTTGTACTTTGAACTGTATCTTCGTTGCACATCAAGGATTTAATTGTTTGACTTTTATCGTCAAACATCACTATTGATATAAACATATCCAGTTTAACAAAAGATATTCTCTGAAGATAGTGGTATGGTTACGAGTACAGCAAAGACTTGGATTGTTCGCGAGTGAACAAGTTATTTCTATGGTGAAAAAGACTTCTGTTCTCTCTGCCGAAACTTTTTCTGACGTCTTATCACTTCCTATGAAGAATTTTCAGGCACGATACTATTCGAAAGCGCTATTCCTGGCAAAATGTTCATGCTTGATCGATTCAGTCACATTCGACTATAGATTACAAAATCATTTGTCAACTCTCAAGAGCATGGGTGTGGGTGAATATGGGTGGAGTGTGACTGTAAGTGTGTGGATAACTTGCTTGTGTATTGAAAGGATACCCATATCCTCGAAAGTTGACTCTCTGATCTCAACTAGCTCGACAGAGCATATTGATCAATGATGACAATTCTTTCTAATTTGCGAATGGGATGATAATGATGTAATTGTAGAAGTCAACACTACCGATTAAGATGTTAAGAAAGATACTTATAATTCAATTATTCTATCATTTTGACTCTTCTCTTTTTCGCTTTCTGTCTTCAGATAATAATAATAACCATCTTGTATAATTCTTTTATTTATTCATCACTGAAGTTTCTTATCATTTTTACATTCTTATCATAGCTCGCACTCCCCTGTGTGTCAGTGCATTTTTTTTTGTTCTTGTTAGACCATCTCTTTATTTTCTTTTTTTTGGTCACCAAAAAGTAGGTTCTTAGAATTTTTTTTTACTTTTGATTGTCCAG